GACTAATGCCTGCAGTTCTGCCTCTGATGGTGCAATAAGCACTGCATCATCAGCATACAGCAGACAATTTACTTTAATGTCACCCAATTTCACACCCAAACAACTATCTTTCAGCTTCTGTAAACAGCTGTCGAGATACAGTATGAACAGCCAGGAAGACATGACACAACCCTGCTTTACGCCCGTTTGGACGTCAAACATGGGTGACAGGTCATGCCCTACCCGCACACAGGCTTTACAGTCACAGTAAAGAGACTGCACAGCCCTTAGCAATCGGCCATCCACACCATACCCCGGCAACAGTTCCCACATTTTCTTCCTTACAACCTTATCAAATGCTTTCTCAAGATCCACAAAAGCACAGAAAATCTTCTGGTTAGCAGCCAGAAGCTTTTCCGTGATAATGCGGAGAGAAAACATTTGATCCGTGCATCCTCTTCCAGGTCTAAATCCGCATTGTGCCTCCCATAGAAATCTTTCCGATTTCTCTTGCATCCTACGTGTCAAAACCTTCGAGTAAACTTTACTTGCTAAACTGGTCAAGCTGATCGCCCGATAGCACCCGCAGTCAAAATGTGAACCTTTACCTTTATATAAAGGCACAATGACTGCGGATCGCCAATCATCCGGGACATCCCCCGTCCGCCAGCACAAATTGCACAGCAGATAAAAGCTGTCCCAGACGCGAGGCCCACCATACTTGACCATTTCAGCAGTAACTCTGTCTAGTCCCGCAGCCTTACCACATTTCAAACTTCGAATCGCACGTTCAATCTCTTTCATACTGATGACCTCAGTGTCATCGAGGTCCGGGTCTGGCGTACCAGTCACGGCGTCATCCCCGGATCCCTCACTAAGATCATCATACGCATACATTTCTCTATAAAATTCGCTCCATCGCTGCATGACGTCCGATTTTTTTGAGAGGACGTCATTAGTTCTCGAAAGCACTTTGTTCATTCTTAAGGCTGTCGCACCACTCCGGGTCCTTCCAACCTCTTTCCAGAAGAGTTTGGAGTTCTCCTTAAAGTTGTGCGACAACCTTTCGTCCGCTTCCATTCTACACCTTTCACGCACTTCCTCAATCAATGCTTTCGTGTGAACTTTCTGCAGCCTATATCTTTCTTTCATCTTCTCTCTCATATCCTTATCATTACTAGAGGCCAAGTAGTCTAACCATGCTTTCTTCTTCTTTTTTACAGCTTCTTTCACTTCATCATTCCACCATGCATCTCTTCTTTTACTACTGCCTCTTTTTATTGTTCCACACACTTCTTCCGCTGCACTTACCATTCCATCCCTAAGGTTCTGCCAAGTTCTTTCTACACATTATTTTCTGCCATCGATGGTGTCAAGCTTTTCGGCTACCCTCGCATGATATTTGTCCCTAGTATCCGCTTCCTGAAGCTTCCAGCTTCGGATGCGACAGACCGACTGTGGTTCTGTTACTGCCGTCCGGTAGCGCCAACCCGCGAACAGACCCCTAAATCTAGTAATCACTAGATAGTGATCCGTTCCCAGGTCAGCACCCCTGAACACTCGCGTATCCATCACCTGTTTTCGCAGTCGGTCATCCACCAGGAACAAATCAATCATACTTCTCTCATTCTTTCGTTCTCTAGTATACATATGGATTTTCTTGTGATTAAACATAGTGTTTGTCACAAGAAGACCCTTTTCCTTGCACACCGCCAGTATAAGCTTGCCAGCATCATTAACCCTTTTATCGCCAAACTTTCCAAGTACCGACTCGTACCCTGGTCGAGCGGTACCAACCCATCCATTCAAATCACCACATACAACAATTCTTTCGTTTCCCCTAGCCAAATCTAGAACTTCTCTTACATTCTCCCAAAACTCCTCCAGCTCAGCCCTGGACGACGAAGCTACCGGCGCATAAACAGCCAAAAGGAATAACTTCGTCAGTCCCAATTTAAAGCGAACCCAGAGAAGTCTTGAGTTCACAACCTTATATTCAGTCATAACATCGACCAACCGAGAAGACAGCAGCACCCCCACTCCCTGGCAGGCGTTCTCGCTCTCCGGGACTCCTGACCATAGAGCTAACGCCCCGCCAGGGAGCTCTTCAGTACCACAGATTTAAATAATACGACTAAGTTATTGGCAGCATTCCTTTATTTGATTGCAATTACAAACAAGAATACATTTATCGCTAATTACATAATTCAATTCGAATAATAATTGGATACATGTATGATTTGAAGTGTACTATTTCAAAAAGAATCTCACCACTATTAAAAAATTAAATGAGTCATATAAAATATTTGTACAATACGGACATTAAATTCTTTCAGTTTAATAAAGAATCTCACATTTAATGTAAATTATAAATTGACAAAAATTATAAAATTATATCTAAAATTTCTCATTATAAATACCTACTATAAATTTAAAATAAATTAATGTCTTTGAACGCCACATTTGTTTGTAACACATTTTATTTTATTGATTATTTAATGAGTAACTTAAATCTGTTAAACTATATGACATATCTGTTTAATTGGAATTTTAATAATGTAATTAGTGCATATATAAACCTCGTTGTCTATTCTTTCAGCGGGATAGATACTATTATATTTCACTCTTATGCTATTCCGACTGTGCCCGCAATAAAATTTTGCGCAATAAAAATAAGGCGAATTTTATTCTTAGCATCCCTGCTACCATTTCATACATAGTTATCAGCAAAATAATACAAGCCTAGCTAACGTTATTACTACGTCGTTTTATTTTGACTAGGTCTTACAGAAGATGCTGGTTAAGAAGCATGAACATGTGATGCAACTTTTTGGTTTGATATATAAAATTAGTGGAAATATTTTGCCAACGACTTATTATAATAAACTTGATAATGTTAGGAATCATACTATGTGAATGTTTACTTATAATTTTCATTTGTAACCCCGATAACTGATTTCTATTTTAATTCATATTTCAAATTATTTATACATTTTTTTAAAGTATGGTATTTCACACGGCACATGCTTTTAATCAGCCTCTTCTATAATCATTATTTTTAAAATAAAATTTTAACACACTTTATAATTAAAATTAATTAAAAAAATACTAAATTACAGTAAATTAAAGTACAACTGAATTCATCTATTTATAAATATATTTAGATAGCACGGACATAACCTATGAATTTCCTATGTGTTTTGAATAATAATGGATTATTTTCTTTAAAGATAGATAATAAAATGGGCTTAATTTAACGAAAATTATTAATCTTAAATTAATTTTGCACCATTCGTTACATTTAAGAGACGAAATTAACAGCATGTTAAGAACAAATTTAGGGTTGCGATTCGACTTATTGAAATAAAAATGTAAGCAAATAGTTATTAAAAAGCATACTCATTTATTTATGTTTTTAAATATTGTCTAAGAAAAAATATTTTATATTTTCTATTAAAAAAAATATAATAATCTACATCTGATTACAGATAAGTCAAATTTAAAGAATTTTCCTCAAGTCAACACTAAAGTTTTTGCAACAGTCTAGTACGTTAAAGTAAAATTAAAAACAAATTACAACCCTTAAACTCATCAGTAAACATAATCGTTGGATAATAACTTAGAAATATATTAAAACAACACTTACTTTCACGAATGCCACACATAAATAAACACACGCACACTATTGATATTCATAAAATTAATAATATAAACAATAAAAATAAGTTATATAAAAATCTATATATTGTGATGCAGACAACAACCACAGCCCGATCAGTAAACGGCAGGAAAATGTACTTCCTGCCACTTGAGATACACGTTTTTAGAATTATTATTATAAACATTTTAAAGGAATCTCTTAATTCTAGTGTAACTATTTAATAAGACTACTAAAACGATTTATTTGGTGGTTATAATCTTGTACATTATTACTAGATGAGATTAAGCTTACCGTCGATCCGAGCGATATCTTTTAACGATCCCGGCTATATAACTACCGAGTCTCGACATAAGCTATATTATACAAAAACACTACACGAAGCGCTAAGGTACACATGAGCGAAGAAGCACATAGATTAATTGTGAATAAAATGTAAAACAGTGTTTTAAAAGTCCATGAATTGTCGTGCACTGCTTCTATTTTTGAGTCAGAATAACATCAAATTGATGACATACGCCATTGAAATGTGTATGTAGATATGATAACACATAATCGGCGAGGTGCGACTTTACCACTAATCATGAGTTCGCATACCGGTCGCTTTTTAAGTTGGAGCTCTCCTACAGAGTGTTTTGTCTGGGAACAACGCAACGGTGCGTACTCACGATTCGGTCTGGTGATGTGAATAGTTGAAATGAATTTTTGAAGGAACCAACTCTATGATCGAAACTCTAAAACCAAAATCAATTCCTCAATTGGTCTATGCAAACGAATTTAAATTTCGATTGTTTTAGATACTAACGAACTACACGTATCTCCACAAAAACTCATTAAACACGTCCAACTACTGGTGATGCATTGTGAGACGGTGCACTACTTGAGTGAGAACATCTATTTCAAATTTTAGTAAGAAATATGTAAGTAACAATGACAGAAAAAGTGAATAGGTGAATTCAAAACGAATATCCTAAAGCAATTATTTGATTTATCTGATTTGCAATATACGAGACTAATTCGTAACTATTGAGTTGTAAGTTTTGTTTGGTGATTACAAGTTTACACAGCGGATTTAGTCTTGGACCCGATAGACCCGAAGATATTAAAATTTGGCGAATTCACGAATAAAATTATTTTATGAGTAGTGTTATCAATGGCCTGACAAATGGGCCGGGCATAGGGCCCCATTTAACTTAAATCCGCTGTTGTTTGTAACGTGGCCAGTTTGTCGCACAATACATTGCCAGTAAAGGTCTATTCACAGCGCGGCGACTTACGCGTTGTGGAGTGTCGCCGGTTTAGTCGACGTGCACACGTACACGTAGTCTGACTCGGAATCGAAACGTGCCCGACGGGCCTCTCGTTAGGCGGTCGTCACTTGCCACACTATAAGGTGGCTTTTGGTCGCCCTCTCCGCAAGTGAGCTGTGACCACTCGACGACCCATCCTCCGCTACCACCACGCTGTCTTCCATTTCTGAATCCGCTGTGAAAGAGCGCTTGTGAAAATTTTGGAGCAATTCTTCATGTACAATAATTGTTTGTTAATATGTAGAAACAAAAGAAATTTCGAAAGTTCAAAACAAGTTGAATAGATGTTTGATGACATTTGAATTAAATTTGTAAAAATAAATATATCATAAAATATCTTTATTATACACTGGTGATATTTATATGAGACATAACATTAATAAATATAATAATAGATACAAGAATAATAGATATGAGTTAATTTCATAAATTTAACATTTATCGTCCAGTAATCCGTAGTAGTCACTAGTTACTCCAGACGCTTCCCACGTCCAGTATTAGCAATATACACGTTAGCTCATACAGAAGTAACATAAAGTGATAATACCAGATTACAGAATTTCTTAATCCGCGACATGACTGATTTGGCTTACCTTTTCAACCAAATGTAACTAAGGACATAAAATCGTGTATATAATGCGATTCAAATAAGAATAAGAACGTCAATGACCTCAAACGACCGCGATTTAAAAATTACGGTTTGCAAAAAAATTACACCTCTTTATCCGTTTTGTATAACTGAGTCTTAGTAACATCGAATCTATTGAACTCATAATTACTTTTATAAATTAATTTAAAATATTGATACCAGTTGGTGGAAAATTTTATATACCTATTTAAATCCATGTTCTATTCTTATAAGCAGTGAGATGATAATGATGACAAAGATGACTACTCAGATAGCGATGCAGAAAAGAGCTAAATTGAAATGCTAGATTCAGATCAGTACAATTTTTTTCATGTTTATTTTGTAAATAAATATTATTTCAAAAATATCTGTTTTTCTCGCCCTACCTAACTGGTTTGAATTGACAGCTACGGTGTCACAATATAATGGCGCCAGATCACTCCCATTCTTATTTGTATCGCATAGTACATAGCTAGATCAATTGAAAATTAAGAATACAGGAGACAGAAAAGTTAACGTAGAGCTATTTGCTGAAATAAATGCAATATGCAGGTTTAAAAACCTTATAATATCAGCAACAAGAAATAATCATAAAACTTAATCTCTTGAGTTATTAGAGAGATTAATAGAACCATTAGACTCAAGCCACATAATAAGCTCTTGCTAATCGGTTATAGTACAGGTAAACCAATGATTCGCCCAAGTGATCTGCTGCTACATGCACTTTAGTGACACAGGAGTTAGTTTAGCTTATATTATAAGATATTAATTGTGTTACGTGAGTCCCCAAGCGTCATGCTCATTGTGACTAATAGTGAAACTCGACGTACCGTTTCTTACTTAGACTGAGAATTTTTGCATATATTCTACCAGGTACGTTCAGGGTTCTCTTAGAATCTGCCATACAATGAGGTGGGAGGCAGTGTCTCGAACGTCATCGGCATGCTCCTCTAATGGTGAATAAAAATAAATAAACATCGAGCATGACAAGTAGCATCATGAATAAATAATCTCGTCTTAACATTTACGCATATAAAGCGAGAGTTGATGTGAATATTCTACAGTTATAATGGATCGATTGCTTAATATTAGTATACAATATAATATTTTAAATCAAATCTATAATAAGACGTTTTAAAAATTGTAGAAGTAAAACTTTTAAGTTTACATGAACAATTGAAAATAAAACACTATATTATAAACTACACCAAAATTGTGTTGGTATTTCCTTTGCATTTGCATTTTTTCATCTAATCCAACAGCCCAAGCAAATGTCTACCTTCGGTATATAAAGCATAATAAGGACATTTTTGTATATAAAGGAGACGAAGCATTAACAGTTTTATTTGAAGTATTATTTAAAATAACATAGATAAAACATTTAACTAAATATGATTATAAAAGCTTTTAAAAAATTTACTTCGCAAACATCCGCTCTATAAAATAAAATAATGTGCCTTACCTAGTATTAAGAGCACCTCCCGCCCTCCCTCAATTGCGTGCACTATCCCCGTCACCACTTATCCCAGCACCACTACTCCCAACACCACTACACTAGGAAAGACACACCACTGACGACAATACGACACGTGTTTCGCCTCTACACGAGGCATCCTCAGGTGATGTAGACTCTACAGTGGCTGACCGTTAAAGGATCTCGATTTGTGGTCGCCGCTGCACTGTATTTTTCTGCCAGCCAATAGTCCAGTCTATAGTAAATGTACGAGGTGGAGGAAATGTATGAGGATATCTCTAAAGCCCTGCAATCCTCCAAAACCTATTATAGTAAGGAAGACTTCAACGCAAAACTAGGCACAAGTGAGCGGTGAGCCAAAACAACGGCCTTTTATGCAGACCGCTAACGCAACCGCTCCCTGCTTAAGGAGCGAGCGTCCATGTCATGCGATAAAACATGCAACCAATCACCGCCGGACTTACGCAGCCGTTTGTAAAATTAAAAACAAACCGCCGCGCAACGGCCGCCTACCCTCCAACCACGCAACCAATTGCCAATCACCGTGAGGATGACAAACAATTATATTGCGAGGATGTCTGCTATTAGAGAGCAGGCTTAAAGATATTCAAGAGAGGTGAGTTAGAAACATTTCTTTGTTATATATATTATTACTTTTTAATATCTCTAACTGTTCCAGCACACACAGTCGCAGCCCTTTATTACACGTATGTAAGACTTTAAAGGAGCGGTCGTTGGCTAGGTTGTGTCCAGTGTCCAAAATATGTTTAGCAAAATGTGATTTATCGGGATTACAATTCCTGTACGCGGCTAAATGCTCTTTATAACGTGTTTCGAAGTTGCGACCAGTCTGACCCACGTAAACGGCGTGGCATTCGTCACAAACAAGTTTGTAAACACCCGACTTTTGACGAATATCCAACATATCTTTATTATTACAGATATTTCAAAGAGAATTGTTTGTTTTGAACGCCACATAAACACAGTTTTGTCGAAAAGTATTAGCTACTTTTTCAGATATGGGGCCTGAGTAAGTCAAACTGCTCACATATCGACGAATACTTTAAGGTTGAACCGCGTACAGAGAGTTGCGAACAACATGCTTTTGTTTCTTTCGCTCACTTAACGGTCAGTCACCGTAGAGTCTACATCACCTGAGGATGCCTCGTGTAGAGGCGAAACACGGGTCGTATAGTCGTCAGTGGTGTGTCTTTCCTAGTGTAGTGGTGTTGGGACTTGGGAGTAGTGGTGCTGGGATTAGTGGTGACGGGGATGGTGCATGCAATTGAGGGAGGGCGGGAGGTGCTCTTCATACTAGGTAAGACACGTCATTTTATTTTATAGAGCGAATGTTTGCGAAGTAAATTTTTTAATAGCTTTTATGTAATGGATTACCGCAAAGTAACGCCTGATTCTATTAATTATAAATTTGATTAGACTGCAAGCTCTTTTACACACAAGACCAATTGAATAGGATTTTATAACTGGTGCATGTGGTGCATAAAAGAGTTTAAAGAATAGCCCGAGTACTAATATTTTTGTTTTCAAATATTGCAAAAGCATAGAAAACCGTATTAAAGTAACGTGCATATTGCTTGTTTGGTATTATTGTTAAAAAGCCATGAGATATTTATTAATCCTTCATTTTTATTAATATTCTCTTCTCACGAGTCTTAAATTAAATTTAGCATCTTTATATAAAATTTATTACAAAATTTTATGGTAATAAACATAATGTCAATCAGATTACAAATAAAAGTGGTAAAATTAAAAATTTTGTATAACCGACTTCAATGTAAAAATAATTTTATGGTTGATTTTTTTAAACCACTTGACATATTTCGATAAAATTTAAATGGGACCACCTAGAAAGTATATACTCTATGAAACAAAAAAAAATTCCAAATCGGTTCAGACGTCTTCGAGTAATCGGTGAACATACAAAAAAAAGATTCTGACTAATTGAGAACCTCCTCCGTTTTGAATTCCGTTGATAAATATGAATTACAACTAAAATATTAATATTAGTTGGATTTGAATCTATGTGGCATAAGCCTATAATAATATGTTAAAATAAAATGACACAATAGTGGTGTAAGTAATTATATAACAATATTTTTATTAATAATCTATCTGATAAGTTTCTTTATTTATCGACCGTGTATAAAGCTTGCTTAAGCTAATTATAAAAAATGATGGTTTATAAAAGTGAATAATTTAATATATTTAACAAATGATTAGTCTACTGATGTTATTAGTTGTGCATAAGGACCAAAACCTTTATATTAGTTATGATCGAATTCATTTCTTGCCACCAATACAGTAGTACAATACCAATAAAGTAGTGTAAACAAACATACTTATAAAGCTTGTAACCAATAGGAGTATGCAGAGATTATGCATTTCCATTCTGAAATACTTTCATTAACCTCTTCATATACTCGCCACTCCGGGGCACACATAACTTTCTTTATGATTAATCAGTTTTATTGTGGTATGACCGTCAAGGTTAATCTCTTTTAACCCTACTATCTATCTACACTACCCGCGAAGATATGTTTCTTAAAAAAATGTTTGCTCATCCTTTTTTATAATGCTTAAAATATCTCAATCTACCACCCTTAAATCCTACTCTACATCTTTCACTGCTCCCGGATCAGAATGTTCTTCACTCTGCTACTCATTCATAGCGCAAATGTCAATAACACATATTTTTTAAATTATTTAACCAGACGATACTACTGACCCCGTTTAACATTTGCCCATAGACAAATTGATAGAAATGCCTTTAAAACTGGTTATTTTCACACAAAATCAACAAGTTAAAAAAATGTGTTAACCTTTTTACAATTAAAAATTCATTAAATTGCTAAATTAATATCAATCTAAAGTTAGTGCTACCAAAAAGTCAGTAGATTCCAGAATTAAAGAGCGCTGTTCTGTAGTTTTGAATGGTACAACTTGTGGTCTCAGTTGGTAACCAGGTTATCCCGCATATTTGAGGAGTTCAACAAGTAAGAAAGGTGCGAAAAATATGCTCTTTGCCCAACATAGTATAGTTGTAGCACCTATGTGTCGGCTCGACCGGAGAAGGACCACGCTCTCACAGAATACCAGCGTAAAACAGCAGCTTATCACTGATGTGTTTCGTATGGTGAGTGTAGGGAACCGGAGACCCCTTTTACTGGAAACGAGGCATTCCATCTTAGTCCTCACGGGTGACAAAGCTTCTGCATTTTGATTCGTAGTCGAGGATAGATATAGGACCACAGCAACTACTTACCATGGACTGTGTGCTCGTTTGTAAACCTTATCCTATTACTAAGATCAAAAGCATTAGAATGCAAAATATTCTATGAGCTATTCTATGGCATAATCTCTGCAAAACTTTAATTGATCCGTTCTTGTAGCTTCATTCAACGACAAACATCCAAAAACAAGAATGTGTATTTATAATATTAGTAAAACACATACCATGTAAGACGATACAGAGAGCAATTATTAGGTATATAGTGCACATCGAAAGGTATTTTTATTTGTTTACCTAATCTTCAGTAAAATATTGAAAAGAGTATTCTTTTTTTTTTAATTAAAATGGTAATGTGAATAACTTTTAGTCTCAAAAGGATAACCGAATAATATTTAATTATGATCTTACCTATTCTAAAGTCGATGTAGCCCTCCCCACCAGATATGACGAGCATCGGTGGTGGTATGGGGGAGTGGTGCGGTGATTCCGGAGTTCGTGCCGGGGAATTCGAGGCCCCAGGAACTGCTACGAAGAACGTGACGGCGTCGCGGTGCCCGTGGAAACTAAGCTGAGCTTGCGCCATTGAACACCACGGGATTGTGCCAGTTGGACTTGCAGAACGTGCGCAGGCCAAGGTTGCATGACCTGGTAGGATTTAAAAAGGTGAATAAATTGTAAAATATATGTTCCTATTATAAACACATTTACAAATATCAAAAACTAAATGTAAGGTTAATCATACAGCCCTATTTCTTGCAGTACATTCAGTACTATACAGTAAAACACAAAGGTTTCCTTGATGCGCCTACACATATATTTCATATAAAATTGTGAAATAAAATACTTGCATATTTTAAAAAAATATTTAAAATTTATTTATATAGATAATAAAAATATTACTTCCATCAGCTCATAAATATTTTACTACTGATTACAATAAAACCAATATGCAAAATGAAACATCAAGGGCGTAGCATTTTACTTGGACTCACTCTTAGGTTAAGCTTCACCACTAATAAAAGGTATCGAAAATTTTGGAGGGGATAATTCTGACTGAGCTGTACTTTGTAGCCCCCATCACTTCGTTCTGACAACTGTCATGTTTTTTTTTATTTTTTTTTTTTATTTATTTTAATTTATTTCGAAACCAACAGCGTTCTAATTAGTTAACATTAAACAATATTATTCTTATAATAAAGGCCAATAACAGGTTTCCTTTAATTACTAAGGCATAACATACTACGGTCGTTATGATTAGTATCAGTTGGTATACACTCAATTTTACACTTATAACATTAAATGTTTGCATCTGTTCCCTTAGGCAATATGCACATTTGACAAGTCTCATACACAAATTCATAAATATATGTACATGCACACTAATAAAATCAGTAACAGCACACACTGCTCAACGGTACCAAACAAATAAACACGAATACACACATGTTACTTTTTTATACACAAGATTAGCAGTATATTATTATTATTTTTACTCTACTATAAATTATGTTATGTTATGTTATGTTATTTTTGATGTTATGAGATGTTTAAAAGATACACTTAAGTTGAGACAGGTCGTTTAATTATACAAAATTTATCGAATCATAAATAGTTGTATACCTTATTAAAAAGTAATGTGCACAATCAAACAAAAAAGAGTACATAATAAAATTGTATCCCACCTGGTATATTAGGCCTTGCTACTCCCGCTTGAGCATTACCACCACTCGATTCCCGACTAGAGCCTTCAGACAGCGGCACAGATATCACAACACCATTACTGGTACCGATCCAGAGTCGGCCCGAACTGATCAGTAGAGCAGTAATCCTCACAAGTGAGAAGCCCAACTTTCCAGTTCCCAGCATCTTGCTCACGTATGGTTCAATATCTACATCCTTCAGGTGTTCGTATGTGTGGGCGTGGTATAAGCGTAACGCGGAATCCATTTTGATAGACACCTGATTGTGGTAAAATCATAATGTTATATTAAATTAATTAATAATTTGTATTATTTAAAATATAAAATATATATAATAAAAAATATAACAAATTTAATAGTTTGCTATTTGAAATATTAGGATATCTATATGTAATTAATCTAACCCTCTTAGTCTTCAGATTGAAATACACCAATATATGTAAACGTCAGGTAGTTATTTTGTCGCTTCACACTAATAAACCAAGCCATTATTACTCCTTGTAAATATGTAATATTACTTCTTGTAATGGTGTGCAAACGTGGTCCTTCCCCAGTCGAGACGTTCTTATTCTTTCTTCATTGGTAGTGCATCATACGTGGCTCATCAGCTAAATAACTCACAAAAGGTAATGGACCTGGTTCGGTTTGGTACACCAGTTAGGGGTAAAAATTGGTAAGAGCGAGGTAACAACTAATTATATTCCGAGAAAGGGCCTTACCTACTTGGGATACTGTAATTAATAAAATTAAATCCCAAACCAATCATATAACTGCAAGACTATATGCTTGGGTTGGGTTGAGACTAGATACTATAAGTTCATACTGCGTAGATCGATCCAAAATTAGTAATTTTAATCTGAAGGTAGCCGTGGTTAATTATGACATGAACGCGCAACCAACACAACGTGACCATGGGTGATGTACAGTATCACAAACGTCGGAAATACAAAATAAGTTAATATACGCGATAAAATCCGTAAAAACCAGTTTTATTTAAATGTAAAGTGTTCGCGTAAACATAAACGATCATCAAGAGCCCTACCACCTAATACGAATAAAACGTACCCAAACTCCGTCGCCGTCGCAGGCCATCTGTCTGACTTGACTCTCGTGGCGTGGGTGTGCCTCCAGCGTGTGCAGCAACATCCTCGTGCGAGGGTCCACCACGTGGACTTTGTTGCGGTAGCCACACCACACCGTACATCCCACCGCGCTCAAGCAACGCACTACGATAAAAGCATCCCTTCAAACACGTGCACTATAAAACCTCGCTACATAAATTTAACCTACCTCATAAAAATACCTTATTAATTGTGTTTTTATAAGTTCTAAAATCGGTTTATGCGTTTTTTTAAAGTAACACCGTGCAAAAAATTGCAGAGATGATAGAGATAAAAAGAAAAATTGAGAAATTGTTTTAAAGTGATAGTAGGCATCGCGAAGCCAGTTCAAACTTTTTTTGATTTATGAATGACACAAATTTATTTTTGTAAGTCTTTCTAATAACATGATTTTCGCATCCAAATAGCCAGAAGTCAGGTATTTCCTATTGAAGAGACACACCTTCGACACTGCTCCCCTTCGGCAATAAGAACTACTTTATAGCTAAACATGATCATACAGCATCATTAATTAAAAGCCGCAAGATGTTCCCGGCATTATTTATTCAGCAAAAGTTTAGTGCTGAACAATTTTAGTCCTTTTATGCAGATCTAATTCAGAGAATAACGCAATTGTGTACTTCTTACTTGTCAATGCATCACTCACTGACTTCTCAATAAACAACAATCGCACAATGATATCAGTGTAGCAGCCTCCACGCTTAACCCCTTGCCACCCAGTAGACCTAAAATCTGGTACAGCCATGTAACTGCGCATTTGACTGCTTCGTTGGTTTGATAGTCATAAGCACGTCTGCTAATCGTGTGGTCCCTTGCTCCCAGAGTCAGAAAGTTCCCGTGCCTCGGAATGTAGGTAAAACCATTGGTCCTGCGCCTGATCTCTCTCAGGTCGTGTCAGATTACCATTCCATCGGACGATGAAAGTGAAGTACATATACTCTTTTCCAGTGGACATTGTGAATCTCCGCTGAAACTAGCCGCTGTGAACGATATTGGGTCTGAAAGACATTATTATTACAGCGCATGTGAAATTTGCCATATAGTGGCGACCAATTCAATAAAACCATCTTGTAAATCCAGATTAATCACGGTGAGAGGCGTCAAAGGTACGATCCGTCTGGTACTGAGAATACAAACCTCCTCCTAAGTGTGAGGATAATAGCAAATTCTCCGTGCAACACGACGGTCCGATAGCACAGTATTTAGTTTTTAGCTGTGACGCTGCGGGCCGTGAGTTCAAATCTCAACGGATCAAGTATTTGTAAGAGATACTGCCTAATAATTGTTTATATTATCTATATAGATAGATCCACTAGATATTATCCACCTGCACTTTATGAATATGATACAAAAGAAATTAGAAGTTTATTGTTTCTTTCTTAATAAAGTAACACTTTATTAAGAAAGAAACAATAAATGAAATCAGAAAAAATAGGAAGAGCTGGACCAGCAGAGCACAATTTCAGGCTGATGCAAAGGTTGAAGATAAGCATATATAGCGATAAGTCGTGCCGCTTATACAACAATACTATACCTACTATCTTTAGAATAGCTTTAAATATAATTTTTATATGTATATGTAATAGATTATGAATCTAATTATTACCAGAACACTTAGGATCTCCAAGTGTTAGGAGCCAGTACTGAGTAAAGTCCCACTGTCCATCTGCGAGGCGCGCGAATATAGCAACCGTACCATCAGCTAACGCCACCATACAACGCGACGAGCAGGCCACAATCGACAAAATGGCGTCGTTTAGTTTCACGCTACAATTACATGTTTATTCATTAAAAATCATTAATTGTTATCACTATAAAAAAATATTTAACTAAATATTATTTATTAAATAATGTACTTAGACGAGAAAAAATTATTTATATAAAACATATATTTTATATTTTTAATATAGATACAACGTAAATATATATATATGTAAGTTACTTGCGTGCTGACAATGATGACTTACAGAACCGAAACGTGGCCGTGCGGAAGAATAGGTTAGAAGTATGAGGAAGCTCAGTCATTCAGCGTGCGATAGAAGTTGTATGCTCGGAATATCTCTGCAAGATCAAATCCGTAAGGATGATATCCGCAGAACCAATAGAAGAATAAGGCCATATAGCACGAAGAACTAACAACTGATGGTGAAGAAAGGCTCGTAGTCTGCAACTCGAGCAAAGCAATTGGCTCTGGCAAGCGCAATGTTGGGCGACCCCCATTGGAGGAACTGACGACGCGATAAAACATGCACACAGTCAATGGATGCAGATACCTCATAACTGTACTTTGTGGCAGTGTACAGAGAAGACTGAAGTTCAGCGGTGGACTTGTTATTGAGTTGTAATATGCATGTGTATTTACATGCTAACGCATATATCTTACAAGGCAACAAACCTGTTTTTAATGTGTTTAATCTAACTGTCAAATCTGATAGATGACATAGCATTGTAACGTATCAAATATTTGAGAAATATGAAAACTTACCGACAGCAACAACGACCAGTATATTACTTGGTCAATGCAGATTAGACTTATTTTTATTATTTACCGACTTTCATAAATCCATACTAATATTATAAATGTAAAAATAACTCTGTGTCTGTCACCTTTTCAGGCCTAAACGGCTGATCTTGATAAAATTCAATATATGTATATACTTTGTGAGAAGAGGAAGGACATAAGATCGACAGAAGCGATTGTGATCCCCTAAGATGTTTGCAATATCAAGTGGTTAAATGTTTAAACTTATGATTTTTAAGTCGACTGCAGGCAAAGTGTGGGAAGACACTACAGTGCAGTCATGAAAACAAGCATTTTTGGTAGGTTTGTCAAGAATCCTACATCCAAAAGCAACCGGCTAATTATTTTACATATAGGAGGTGTAAAAGAATTCGTGACAGAATCATAATTGGTATTTGAATACAAAGGTACAGGCGATTATGATGAAGAATCGATGAATGCAGTCAAGTTCGAAAATTGGTTTTAAGCAATGCTACCGCGACTTGAGCCAATCGCAGTGGTTGTCATGGATAATGCCAGCTACGCTAGGAGAAAATACCAGTCACTAGTCAGCAAAAACCAGACATCCAGAATGGCTTTCATCAAAGCATATTTCTATTGAGGTAAAGGAAACAAAAGTCCAGCTTTTGGATAAGGTGAAAGATGTCAAAACTCAATAGCTACGTCTACACCAGTGCGCATTCAATTTCGCTTTCATGTTCATTTTGCGTTTCAACTTTCAGTTCGTTTTGCGTCAAACACTGTGCCATAAGAGGCATGCAGTTTATCGTCTATACCTGTGCGCTTGTCGAATGCAACTTGTCTATACCTCACGCGTCTCGGTTAGGTTTAGTTAGAGATGGACGCGGCACTAGTAGCTATTAGTGCGGCATATTTTGTGTTAAGTACAAGGAAAAAACGCAAGAAAAGGAGAATGTGGTTGAAACATTATTTGAAGAAACGGAACAACACAATATTTAAAGATTTAGAGTTAAACAATGGCATTATTTTTAAAAATTTCACTCATTATCTATTATGTTTTAACTTTGAGTTCCGCCATTTTGTTTACTAAAATGCACGAAATGTTGCATACGAACCCACCGGTGACGGATCAGCGCTCACTAGAGGCATGCGCTGATGTCGGACTAAGTTTAGCGCATGCGCTATAGCATGCGCTATTATTGCTCAGGCTTTTTTTATAGGATAAGATGACAAACGAGCACACAGTCCACCTGATGGTAAGTGGTTGCTGTAGCCCATAGACATCTACATCTTTTCGTTTGCGAATCAAAATACAGATGCGTTGTCACTCGTAAACACTAAGATGGAATACCTCTTTTCCAGTAAAAAAAGTCTCCGGTTCTCTACACTCATCATACGAAACGCAACAGTGTCAAGCTGCCATTTTACGCTGGTATTCTGTGAGAGCGTGGTCCTTCCCTGGTCGAGCCGACCCATTCGTGACACAACTATACTACTAATATAGCTACAGTATGGCTCTACCACGTGCAAAATGCATGCATTAGAGGAAGACGCAAGATGAATATGAAAGCGCACTGGTGTAGACATAGCTAATACCAATCGTACGTGGTCGATGAAATGGCAGTTGGTGTAGAGGTATTGAGATTATCTCCATACCAAAGCGAATTGAATCCCATCGAACTAGTGTGGGCAGACGTCAAGGGGTATGTGGCCCGGAAGAATACAACATTTAATATGGCACATGTTAAAAAGCTGCTCCAGGACACTAGGCAACATTTCACTAGAAAAATGGCAAAATTGCACCAGTCACGTAAAAAAAGAGGAATCGAAATTAGATAGACTAGAATCTAGTCTTTTAAATGTTGTGTGTGTTATGTGTCTAGTCACTAGATGATAATGTAGACAAAACGGTTGATCCTTTTGTAACAAATGTGACAGGCGAGACGTCGTTGAAAAGCAATAACTCCGATACAGAGAAATCGTATTCAGATTCGATTTTTACAACTGTTTTTATACTAAAATCAAAATAAATAATGTATATAACATAACAATAATTTATTTAATAAGTTAGTAAATTAATTTTTCTCCTTCAAATATTTCATATAAATGTTTGGGACCACTGTCAGTAGGCAGAGTTCATTGTACGAAATTCTTCCTGCTCCGCGACTGGACTTTAGTTTATATCTCTCCTTAAGCTTTCACTTTATGTACCAGGGCGGTCTGAAAGGTTTCCGACCTCAACATGAAGATGGCACTCGTCAATAAAAGCTAGTGAATGTAGTTGTGCATTTTTGACAGTTACGTACCAAAATTTCAGACATTTTGGACGCGTAGTTGTTATTTGACAGTCATTGGAGTGGCTAGATGTGATTTTTTTTGTGAAAATAGAAAAAGTTTATTATCGAACTGTCATTAAATTTTTGTTTTTCAAAGGCAATACGCCTACGCAAATCAAAGATAAGATGGGCCCTGTATATGGGCAATCTGCACCATCATTTACCACAGTAAAATTTTGGACAGCTGAATTTAAACGTGGCCGTGAGAGCTTGGAAGACGATGAACGTTCGGGACGTCCAAAAACTGCAAATACTGACGATAACATCACTAAAGTTCACCAAATGGTGTTAGACGACCGCCGAATTAAAATGAGAGAGATAGAAGAGGCTATGAAAATGTCCAAAAATCGTGTTTGTCACATATTAAATCAAGATTTAGGCATGAGAAAGGTGTCAGCGCGTTGGATGTCACGTTTGCTCACGTTAGACCAAAAAAGTGTTCGAATGAACATTTCCAACGCTCTGTTGGCGCAGTTTAGGTGCAATAATAGTTTTGGCACCAATTAATCACTGTAGATGAAACGAGGATACACCATTATACGCCCAAAACAAAAATACAGTCAAAACAGTGGACTGAAAAGGGGTAACCCGCTCCAAAAATAGCAAAAACTGTTTTTTCGGCTGGGAAAGTGATGGCGACTGTTTTTTGGGATAGTCATGGAGTTATCTTAATCGATTATCTTCAAAAAGGAAAAACCATTACAGGAGCACAGCATATCATTACTTGACAAACTGAAGGCTGAAATTATGGAAAAACGGCCACATTTGCAGAAAAATAAAATACTGTTTCACCATGACAACGCGCCATCTCACACTTACTCGCCGAATTACAGTTTGACCTGCTTGACCATCCACCTTACTCACCAGATCTAGATCCAAACGACTTATTTTTGTTCCTTCACCTAAAAATTGCGCTCGGAGGACAGAGATTTTCGTCAAATGACGAGGCAATCACCTTTGTGAACAATTATTTTGCAGAGAAAACGCCGACTATTTTTCGGTAAGACGGATTAGGTTAGAGTTAGAGAGATGGGAGCATCGCTGGGAGAAGTGTGTAGAGTTATGATTAGACTATGTAGAAAAATAAAAATAAATTTCAAGAAAAAAATGTCTTGTATGTTTGTTAAACTGAAACTTTTCAGACCACCCACGTATGACGTAAGCGCGTAAGTAGGTGACATAACTTTAGTATTATAATAGTTTTCTTACCTTGCAAGACATTTGCTGTAATTGCCCATAGCGGAGTGGACGTACAGGTTACCACTCTTAGTGCCCAGCCACATAGTCGCCATTACGGTAGACATTTTTCTGTCTTGTGGGACGTCGTTACGATTGTCCGCGTTCGATTGTTCCTGCGCGAAGGCGTCTACACCCGGCTCCGGTGATGCTCTATGTTGTTCTGTAATCCATACATTTCTTTATCTCGGAAAAGTGTAAAACAAAAGCTAAGGACGTAATAATAAGATTTATTGGCTAAATCGTTTATTTCATTAATTATTTGTACTGATTTGTGCATTGTGATTTGAAAATGTATGTCATAACAAAAGTTTTTATCGAATAAGAGTGACAAGCAAGCACCAAGTCCTCCTGTTAGTAAGTGGATACTGTTGCCCATAGATATCCACATTTGTCATCGCTTAAGAATCAAAATGCGGTTGCGTTGACACTAAACTAGATGGCAAAACATACATATATAAACTTGGGACATTCATGGAGATGTTCAAGCCAAAAAAATAAAATTACTAATTTGCTTTAATGGTGGTATCTGTTATTGTTGAAATGAAAGGAACATTGGAAAGTAACAAGCTTTCATCAAAAGAATTTTTAGTGATATAATTATAGTTACCCGAAATCATTACAGGAATCAGAAAATTATAGAATGTATTAGTATACATTCTATACTTACAGTATGTAGTATGAAGTTAGGATGTAGTATAGTTAAGAACTTTCTTGGGTTTTATTTAACCCCAACATCTTTCTTAAATATCTTTTTATCCACTCATTGCTTCTATATTATATTAATTACCTTCAGCCAATCTGCACTTTTCTGTTTACTTTAACTTCTCACCTGTAACCATACGAGCGACCAGAAAATGTTTTAATATTGAAAACTTACCGATTTCATTAATTGGTGTAGAGCTCAGTGGAGGGCTATCAGGTGCAACAGTATCAGCATCTTCCACATTCTTAACGGTAGACTCTTTAGGAGCATCACTTTCCTTCTGAGGTTGAGTCTCCTTAACAGGAGTAGTGGGTGGAGTCAGTAACGTCGCCTGCACCTATACAACGAAACAAAAACTCAAGTCTAGTTTGACATTTTGTCTGTTAAAAATTAACTAATACCGAAACCAATTCTCCAAATAAATCGATTTACTTTCTAATTCTTTAGTTCAACTTTCCTTATATTTTAATTACATCATAATATAATCAATAGAACAGACCATCACATCGAACCCGCGGTCTTTAGCGCTACACCTCATTGCTAAGCCACTGCGCCACGGAGCTGCCGTTTTTACTATTCTAAGTCATTGATTGACTACTATGTAGGAACATAAGTGATGGTGAGTGGTGATGCAGCCGAAGATGGTGAAGCGCACTGATTTAATGAAAATCTATTCAATCGTGCCTTGAACACACGCACATTGTAATCGAATAGAAAGACAGACATAGACAGAAAAACAACTTTTTAATTTTATTAAAATACTTTTTTGTGGATTATGCACTTTTATTAATATTTTTTGTACATAAGTATAACATTATACTTATGTTTTTTTTTGTTTTTTTATTCAAATTAGGTTTACTTAAATTTTTCTTGAACATCTAAATCTACACCGGTTTCCAAAAACTCTGGATTATTTTTTAATGCTATGTTACAATTTTAATTACAATTACAACTTATATATAATAAAATTAATACAACGTTAAATGTCTAATAAACATTTTTCAACGGACTTCAAAATAGAGGAGCTTTACAATTCACCGGAATTTTTTTTTTTATGTATGTTCACTGATTACTCGAAGACGCCTGAACCGATTTGGAAAATTCTTTTTTTGTTTCAAAGGGTAGTATACTTCCCAAGTATTTAAATTTAATAGAAATCAGTCAAAAAAATTCAACAATAAATTATACTTATATTGATGTCGTTTATACAAAATTTTTAAGTTTACCACTTGTTTCAATGTCAGTTTCAAAAAACTAATATCAGTAGCAAGTGCAGTAAGAGTTATTTTTACATATCATTGTTCTCAATATATTGATTTCTTGTATAGTAGGTTTACAAAATTTTCTAAATAATTTTTTTTAAATTTTGTACCCGATTGTTGGACTATTTTTTATTTATCTAAATTTAGGAACCTTTATTAGCGTATCCTCTTGATCTCATCCTACAAGGAGACAGTCTGTTTTCACTTAAATACATTTATATTTTTCTGTACGTGCATGATGAAATTAAGCTTACAGGTACGCAATACTATGGAGAATATAATATAAACCTTACCACAATATTTATCACATTCTTTAAAATTATAGAACTGCTTACCAGTCGCGTGCTTCCGACGACAACTTCTTTTTCACCATTTTCACCGTTGCCATTAGAGTTGATAGTAACAGGCAATCCATTTTGACTCTCTACTGACTCACTCTTTCCCACACAGAACAATGATTGCTAAAAATGTATAATAATAATTAAAAATAGTCATCATAATCGTTCAATAACCAAATTAACTTCTGGACACACCACTCCGCCAATACCTTCAATACATCAAGATTTCGGATTTTGATGTGTTGATGGTCTTGCGAGCTGTAGTAGACATATCAGCTAAAACGTGAAGCCCACAAACATGATACATTTAGACTGACAACCGAACGTGGTCAAATTTGCCAGCTATCGCTCACCGAGTGACGTTTTCCTTCGTTGTCCGACATCCGCTCCTCGTACTCTCGGTAATCCTCCGCCATCGCACCCGGGACAGACGCAACGCATAATATGTGCTTGTCGCTCACCGAGAACGATTCTATCACCTCCGCAGGATTGTTCGCGTCAATTACCTGATGATGAAAATTTTATAAAAACTTAGAATTGATAAAAAATAAATACGCAGCTTTACATAAGAATATTTGAGTGATATTATCTAAAAAAAAAACTAAATAGATTTTAAAAACATAAATGAATAATAAGGATTGTATAATCCATTTCCAATCAACAAGAAAATTGGAAATTGAATACAATCTTTTATGTAATTACATAAAAGATTGTATAAGGAGTTACAGAAAAAATTAAAATTATATTTCGATTGATATTACATTTTAATTTACACATCTCTAAAAATATAATGTTACTTTCATGAGAAAATGTTTAATCTATTACATTTATAATAATTAATATCTAAATTTATAATGGAAAATAATTATTTGATTTTTGACTGATATTTTATGATAACCGTGTCTCGAAACCATTACACTAATGATATTCTAGCCGAATAATGTTAGAAGTTATCAACTTTTTTAATGGTAAGATCATACTATGGCTCACTGACACCCACATATATATCTAGCCTCCATTAAGAATCTTTCTTCGATTTTCTTTCGCCACCTAATAAATTTTTAAAAATCAATTTCATTAGTGCGTGCGGAGATCCAAATCGGTTTGCTCTTGTATGATATTTGAAGGCGAACGCTTACCTGCGAGCTACAACGACTTTTACTGACTACTGTGAAACTATATTTTTCGGTATTACTTGATGGTAAGGAACTGACCACTGGTAGCCCATAGATATCTACAATGAATTTTAAACAATGATAGCAATAATGGCTCCAGATGGCAGGCCTTACTATAAACACATTGCTTATATGGACTTACCATAACTATCCCTTTTGTTTGTGTGCTAGAACATATCCAAACGAGTGAGGATAGATTCTTCTCGGAGTGCTCGACACTGTGCGTTGATTGTAACTGCCGATTGATCTGCTCAACTTCGGGAGAGTGTACTGACTGCGCCTTGCTCATTTCGTACGCTGTAGATAATAATATGTATAGTCACCCGAGGCAAGTGTGACATAAATTAATTAAAACTGTAATGGACATTTAAATACTTCTACTCTGTAAGGATTCAACATAGAGAATTAGTTCCACAGCATCAATTATTAAATAATAAAGTTAAGTGCTTGTATGTTTGATCATCATTTTAGTATCTACAATTGTAATTTAACACTTTCACTGCCCGGTTTTGATGACCTATGTGTAGTGCACAGGACAGCGAAAGGGTTAAGGTAATTAAAACCAATTGAGATGGAAGACTGTCACACTTACCCCATCAACGGGACAAGTGTGACTGTACGTTTCTTTTTATAGTTACTTTATTATAATCTGTGGTTTTCGACAAAATTGAAGGGATTGATACTAATCTCAAAATATTTTAAAGATTTATAAACGATTTGAACATCCATTATTGTGTAACAATGTGTTTTTCTGTCGTTTGTCTGTCGATAAAATAGTTGAAGCTATGTATTTAACTGACGGTATAGTCAATAGCGTAAAAGTTCCTGCGTTGTTCAATAGATGAAATTTAACCAAAAAAAGCGTGCTTATGCCGCATAATTTGCATTTGTTACACTTGCTCCACTGACACACTTGGCTCGTGTGAACATAAGTTATTTACCTAACCTTAGTCACGAAGTCAAGTATTTCCTCATTCTGTGATAAATAAAAAGATCTACAACGGCGTTACTAGACCCAATAATAAAATTTCACAGACTTACTTAACAAATGATTATAAAAGGTCTCTCTTATTACTTGACACAGCAGTATACTCGTACGAGTTCATAGCAAGAGAAAAAAAAACGAATATTCCAATTTCAAATTTCCGTTCACATTTTTATACGAACTAAATATAATTAAAATATCTTGTTTCATTAAAAGACGGAACTGCAACGGAAATGTATTTTGAGTTTTCCGTCCATTCTCTCAAAATAATTGCCGAAAAGAATACAGGTTTCAAAAAAGAAAGAAAGAAAAAAATTACAGGAAGCTAAGTGCCGAAAGATGCACTAGCGGCGAACCAGAAAGTGTTTCGAAAATTGATCCAGACACATAGAACTATGTACAGATGCTGTTGGAAAGTTAATTGAAAAGATCTAATGATAAAAACTTTGACCATAGAATTTCTTTTAGTTTGTGAGCGTCCTACGTATGGTGATTTTGTACCATCTGGTTGTATAAAAAGTTTCTAATATGAATACATTTTTAAAAAAACATTAAAAGTGTTTCCGTATAATTACGGAAGTTAATAGTCACATTGTACGTAAAGGACTATTGGATTGACTCTTCTGATAATCAGGATGACCTTCTTCCTTCGATTTATGAGCACAACCACCAGTTAACAAATAGAAATTGTATGACGATAATCATTACGACATTCAGTTCAGTTTAAGTTAGAATAAGCCACTTTGTATTTAATAATAATTTGTAAATAAATACGCAATGTAAAAATAAAATGTTCGAGTGCCAGTTTTGATATCAAAATTCAAACATAATACGAAGAATTTAGTGGACAAGGTTAAAAAAGGTTCATCATTGAGTCATAATGTCTTCTCTACACTACCACTATATGATCATGAATTACTTACCTAGGCACATGGTGTTCTCAGACTTATCGTTTTCTTTGGCATAGAAAACACTCTCGCCGATCATGCAGCCGCCGTCCGGAGTTACACCCCCATTTAGATTCACCCCAGCCGCACAGAGCAACGTCATACGAGGCTCACTTTCCGCTATTGGCCTATGTACAAAATATTTTAAATTAATAAACAATTAAGACGCTGACTTGTCAAAAATGTTTATTTGGAAACAACGGTGTTCATAGTTATATGTTTAAGATTAACCACTGCCATAAACTGTATAGATTTGACCAAAAATTTGTTTAAAGTTTCATTTGGGTCTTGTCAGCCACTTAAGACTTCAAGGGCTGCCCATGAATCTTGTTGAATTTTTTTTTTACTTATTATAAGCCAGTAAAAAATCTAATAAATCTTTCAGCAGATGCACAATTGGGCTTTTTCACATAAGCGCCGGTCGATCAAGGCATCATGCTTTCAACAATGGAATGAAGGGATAAAAAATAATCTAACAACAATCTACGGTTGTAAATCAAAACCATCGAGGATTTCGGTTTAAATGCTCGATGATGGAAACACTTTTGAGATAGTGTTGTGGATTGTTACTCTTTACTTTACTTTACGCATGTAATAAATAATACTTTTTGTAGTTTAGAAGCTAGGAATTAATATCATTTTGATAATTTAGTTTTTTGATAAAATTTAAACTTTTATTCGATATTATCAGACCAATTGTTTTAAAATGTGTGTTGGTTCTAAGTTCTTTTAAAAAAACGTGTTGTAGCTGTATAAGGGGCGATAGAGAGAAACAAACCAGGATATGGGTAGCTGTCTCTTTCTAATAACTAGAAAATAAAAAAAATTGAGGTTGCCAACTCGCTTTCCAAGCGTGGCTACTATGACTAGCCCGCCTTATGACAGTCTAATGAAAGGTCTAGGTGAAAGTCATTTAGCAATGGTATATAATATGTTGTAATGGATGGAAATCCAGGTGTTTTAAATAAATTGTTTCGTACTTGACATGAAAATAGGTAATCATAATCAAAAAGTTAAAAAATGTATCGAAAAGGATTATAAATAATTATCACTATTTTTTCCACTTACGTTCATATTGACCTATTTTACAGCCCATAAGGATAAAGAATGGCATTAGAAATGGCGGCTCATTGAGTTCGTAACGTCAGCATGCACAGTACAAATAGCGAAAACCCGCTAATAATGATATATCGTTATAACGTTCTATTATTCGGTTAATCGGAAATTTTCTATTACTGAGGAAATATTTGAAAATAAATTGTATACGCAAGTAAAATAACTTTTATAATTAGTGACTCGCTCTTCGCCTGGGTGGGATCTATTAATGTGGCGTTATTTATATTTACTTAAGATAATGATTAAATACAATTTATTTTATCTTATCAATATTTCTATTTTAATAGTCTCTAAATTTTTCGGATAAAATTTAGTCTAGATCACTCCTGATATTACCCTTTATTTGTTCGTGAATTAATATTACAATCGGTACAGCCATTCCGAAAATTTGCTCGGACAGAGAAATTTAAAAAATGGTTACTCACGTCTCAATAACATGTAAATATTTTATATAAAAATAATAACAAACAAAATCAACAATAATTATGAACAAAACTCTCAGAACGTGTCATATCTCAGAAATTAGCGAAACCGGACTGAGTTTTTGGTAGTTTGTGGCATTTTGTGATCATTGGTTACAATAACAAGGTGGATTGAAGTTAAAGAACGTACAGAAAATGCATATTGCAACGTATTTTTTGCAGTCCTTACTGGAGGATGTGACTATAGATGACGACAGTGTGCGAGTGAGAGGAGAATAGAGACGACGCCATTTAACCGCACGGGTAGTATGTGTTATAGGCATATGACACACTTACATAGTTATTATCAGCTATTATTGTCTCTGTTTAACTATATTTTTAAGTAGGTTAAGTGCTAAATAAAAGGCTTTTAAATAAACACATCAAGCAGTCGCACTACTACAACATTAGACCAACGGAGGCAGTCGGGTCCATGCCGGGTCGGGTCCAAAAAAAATCAGTTATTGAGTTTTTCCATCAATAAATTCTCAGTAGCTGCCCGGAGTCAGCAAATTGGCTGTGCCTCACCCCCGTGCCTCCGAAAGCATGTAAGGCCGTCGATCCTGCGCCTGATCTCTCTCCGGTCATGTCGGCTTACTGTCCCATCGGACTATGAGTGAGGGAATAGAGAGTGCACCTGTGCTTGAGCGTACACTCGTGCACTATAATCCTGTCCTGCGCCGATGGCTAGTCTCCGCTGAGGGCGGTCGCCTTGACCGAAATTCGAACTGGAGGACATTATAGGTTATTAAAAGGTCTTTAATAAAAAATAATAAAAAACATTTCGTATTTTTTTGTTTGAAATAAAAATGTCAATTTTTTAATCGCCTTAGAAAATTAGTATGAATTATTATAAAAATATATAAAATTCATTTATTCTTATAAAACTATTAATTTTCATTAAAATTGAAAAAATCTTATAAAATCTAATGTTTTTTTTTGGAGTTTATGGCCTGGTATCTAGACCTTTAGGCCAAGTCTTAAGTATTTTTATTCGGTTTATTGTAATTTCCCGACTCCTTCATAGTATACTGCTTCACAATATGTTGATGCGTCACATTGTGCAGTTCTTGGGAGATTTTGGCGGCAACTTGATCCAGCAGACAGCTGATAGTTGGCGATGGTATCTAAAGGTGCCTATGCAAACAAACAGCTTATCTTGAGAATCCATCACCATCAGAGCACTTGTTTCACTGTTTCCACTAATAGTTCACATGCGTAGACACTTAATACACAAAATCGCAACACTTTTACATATCAAAGTCCACTTCAAACCATTATTTAAACAATAATACAGGAGCAGCAAACCGCCGCCGGTCAATTTCCCGCCAAAACTCCTATAAAATCTAATTATTAATAATCAGTGTTGCCACCTCTTACATTTATTACACATCAACATTGATTGTTCATACTTCAAATTAAATTGTCAATGTCTTGATGCGGTATCAGGTTCCATGTTCTTTGCAAGTGTTCGTAAAGTTGTTTTAAAATTTCCGGGAAATTTCTCAAAGCTTCAATGTAACATGCCCCAGGCATGCTCGATAGCCAATCCAAAACTTGAATATCGTGGTCTCGGAGAGCGGCCGACACCAACCGCGCCGCGCCGTATGGGAAGTAGCATTATTATGCATGAGTAGAAATTCCTGGCTCATTTGGATTCTGTGTGGGACAATAACAGGCTCTACTACCTCCTCGTGGTATTTTTGTACAGTCATGCTGCTTTGGATCCAAACAAGCTGGGTTCGTCAGACCAGACGAATTCCAGCCCACACCATGATTGTCCCGCCTTGGTATGAGTGGAACTTCTGAGGGTTTCTTCGCACGGTTCGGTCGCTTACCAGCAGCTGGTAGTCCTCCTGGAGACTTTGTAGTAGTTGCATCGCTGTGATATTTAGTTGTCTTCTGGCGTCATTTGGAGGAATCGATCCTGTCTCTGCGTAGTAACACGATATCTACCCGTGTGCCGTTCAGACACATCCCCAGTACTGCGATAACGTCACCACAACTTTGATATCACATTTTGGCTGGTGGCCTCGGCAACGCGTCGTTGCCGAGGCCCTACACACATCATTTTCTAACATGCCCACGGCTCGTAACAGTTCATCTCGACTTAAAGGACGACAAGACATGACTGTTATAGCTCACACGGCATTTAAATTAAAAAAGAAAATCTAATCCCGTTTCATTAATTAATATCAGCAGAACAATTTTAATTTTCGTTGATATACCTAACGAATTACTAACAATTTTGCCGCCGTTTTTTTTTTACATTTTCTTTATTTACTTTTATAAATTTTGAAAATAGAATAAAAGCGGTTTCAATATGTATATAAACTTTATATGGAAGTTAAAAAGATTTTAAACTCTAAAGTCGTAAATAATTTAGAACCTCTTTGATAATAAGGTATCCCTAGATTCTGTTGACATGGGAATATAATTGTCGTTTTATAGAACTGGTGACTTTGAACTGTAATAGCTATGGTTTGACTTGAAATTCTTAATTAAAATAAATATTATACCTGTTAAAGGCATGTTTATTTCTTTTGCAAAATCAGTTATTTTTGGATTATTTCCTGCAATATTTCTATATTTATATTTCAATATTTTGATATTTACGCGAACACTACACATTTAAATAAAACTAATTTTCGAAATAAAAATTAATGATTTTTTAATCTGCCGGTAGCCGTGGTTAACTATGACATTGGGACGTCATACACCTCAGTCCCCCCACCCCCCACACCGTGACCATGGGTGCTGTAAAGTGCTCTAAACGTCGGGAATTTAAAATAAGTTAATATACGCGATAAAATCCGTAAAATTTGTTTTATTGAAAATTCGTGTTAATTTTGAATACAAGTTTCGGCGAAAACAACAACGACATGCAAACGGCACTCAATATCAATGACGTATAAGGACTTAGCACTACTTACGAACGAACTCTGCTTTATTGGTTCAATCGTTTTCTTTCGGGATATTTAGACCTCACAATCTTGCCTCGTGGCTGCCTGGAGAAGGATGACAAAGACGAACTGAAGGTGATAGTGAAAACGGATCTGTCTCAAACTAGGGCTTACCTGGCGTCAGCTTTTGATGTAGGTAAGTGTTAAACAATAGTAGATCATTTTTCAACAAAATAAAGACGACAACAAATTGGTATCTCAAGGACTGAATGACGCACAGCAAAAGGCCCGCCACTTAGATTGCATCATAATGCTGAATCGGCATAGAAAGTAGGGAATTTTGAGTAGAATTGTCTCCCACGAATGACATAATATTGTTAGAGATGTAACACTAATGTATCTTAAATGTCATTTGTGGTAAGAAACAAATAAATTATTATTGTTATTAATTATAACCTGCTGTGAAAAGTGGATCCTATATGATAAGCGTAAGCGTTTATCACAGTGATTAAATGCATGTGCCCAAGGCAAATAGTACCGGATATGAAAGATTAACCCAAAGAAGCTTGTGGTGACAGTTTGGTGGTGTTATGTTTGTGTTATTCACTAAAGCTTCTTAATATCTAGTTCCACAGTTTCTGCTGGCCGCTATTGTCATGAATCGCAAATGATAGTGTAGAAGCTGCCACTTGAACAACACAGATTGATGAACTACGCTTCGCCGTTGCTTCTTCATGAATCACGGCAACGCCCGGCTACATACTGCATAACAGACGTTAGCAAATGTAGCAGAGCTAGAGACATTTCCTAATTCACCCTATTCTTCAGACCTTGTCTCGAGAGAATTACACTTTTTTCAATGTGTAGATAACTCTAATATGCAAACATTTCAGATCCAAAGAAGTAATAAAAAACGTCTTTAGAAATCATCAATTCTCGTGCTTCAGACTTCTATAGCAAAAGCATCAACAAACTACCCATATTATGGCAAGAATGTGTTAATATGAACCCTAAAAATATTTTGATTAATAGTTTTTTTTTATTAAAATATTTTAACATTTTAATTTTACGTAATAGAGCCATGCTGCCGCTATATTATTGTTGTAGCACGAATGGGTCGTCTCGACCAAGGTAGGATCACATTCTCACAGAATACCAGCATAAAATGGCAGCTTAATGCTGCTGTGTTTCGTATGGTGAGTATAGAGAACCGGAGGTACTTTTTACTGGATACGAGGCATTCCATCTTTATCGAGGGTGAATGTAGATGTCTATGGACCACAATACTCACTTATCATCAGGTGGGTTGTGTGCTAGTTTGTCAACCTTTTTTTCATTTAAAAAAATGTAATTGATATGAAATAGTATATAGTATATCAGGCTTTGGCCTACACTGTGCACGGAAAGCTTTTTTTGATTTATAAAATATTTTACATAGCAACACCACGAAAACTGAATATTTCTTTTAATCTAGAATACGAACATGGCTTAAGTATTTTTTAAATAAGTTTATGTAAACATTAATAATTTCAATTTATGGTCCGACCATACCAGATGTGTACAGTGTTCTAGACAAGGTGATTTATTTATATTTACAATAAGAAATAATTTTATTTATAAGTTAACATCATCCTACCTACCTTAATGTATGGTAGTGAAAGTTGGGTATGGAAGAAAAAGCACGACTAGCATAAATGCTGTAGAAATGCGGTCATTAAGAAGGCTGAATCTGAATGGCAGGATAAGAAATTGCGTAATAAGATAAGTGTGGTTTGCAAGATGATTTTGTGACCAGGATTAAGAAAAAAAAGCTTGGGTGGTTCCGTCAAGTAGAAAGAATGAACGAGGAAAGAGTGTCGAAGCAAATCTATGTTGCAGAAGTGAACAGCTGAGTCGGGAAGGTACGCCCTAGACGAACTCTATCGACAATATTGGCGACATATTGACGATGGGCCAAATTAAAAGTATACCTTAACCAACGAACACGCATACGTATGAATATGGACGTAAAGGAGGCGATAGAGATGTGTCAGGATCGTGCCAAATGGAAGTCCATAGTCTCTGCCTACCCCTTTGGTTGGTAAGACAGGCAGGAATTCGATGGGCGGAAATGGCACAGGACCGTGTTTCGTGGCATTCCTTGGAGAAGGCCTATGTTCAGCAGTGGATTTGCGTATGGTTGTAATGGAAATCGAATGAAACTGAAATGAAATGAAATTCTAACACAATTATCATAATTTCATAATTATCTTTAGAAGTTTGCTAAATAAATGCTATTAATTGTACTACTGTTTGGATATATACCCCTAAAATTTCTATGATCTCACCTGCAGAATACAGGAACAGGTACTGGCACGCCCCCTGACGAGAGGGAGATGCTCTGACTGGGTCCCTTCTGTCCTTGTCCACTCTTTCCGGGCAGACTCCAGCCATACGCTTGCGTGCGTCCGTCTTCTTTGCGAACGTGTGCCCGCACCTAAATACACCACCACTTCAAGGTTCATCTCTTTAACCTTATAATAATAACTTAAATTTGAACAGTGCGGATTATAGTGGATTGTTTTTACCCTTTACCTCAAATTCAAGGCCATTATTATATTTATTAAAATAACTTAGAGGGTAAGCTAATTGTTGGCAACGAATGTGAGATTTATTAATAGTTACTTACACAATAAAGTTAATACATTTTAGTAAATATTAAAAGTAATTTACTAAATTTACAAGCCTTATGAATGAAAATCTTTATTTTTTATCTGTCTATATCATTTTTATGTATTTATCTATTCTAGAACATGAAAAGACCACGATAGAGTAAAAATTTATTTATTTACTTTACATTTTAACGGGTTTTGAAAGTGATGATTTTTTCAATCTCACTAAAATGCAAAAAGAAGGTTATAAGATGTATAAAAGGGTTCTAAAATGTATAATAAATACGAATAGCGTGTAATAAAAATATGTAAGTAAATAAAACATAAAGCAAAAATAAGATTCATTTTATTTTTCACACATCACAAAACGGACAAACAAATGAACAATAAGCTAAAATGTACAAACAGACTACACTACTAAATTGCACCTATAACAATCGATAAAGTATAAATAAAAATATCACTAGTACATATAAAGTATAGATAAAAATATCACTTATAAAACTAAAGTATCACAATCAACGGATAACGACTTTAGTTTCTGAACAATTCTTAGGCTGTCCTCATTGTTTTAACTGAAAAAGAAAGGAAAGGGGATTAGGTAAAGGAAAAGGATGAAAAAAGCAACAGTAGGAGAAGCCCAACACAACTAAAAAAGCATATAATATAAGAGTAGGAATTACAAATGTAATGAAAGGTGTGTGCGATTAAGTATAAAATTGAACGACAGACTCAAAAGTAAAAACGAGATTGCAGACATTAAACATCTAAAACCGATTTTGGTTAAAAAGTCGCAAACGCAACGGGTTGTATCATAATATCGAAAGGGTAAATAAAATTGCATGTTACACATCAACAATCTCTTTCTTCTAAATATAGGAACAAAGCCCATGAGAAGAAATAATTGAAACAAATGAGAGACATGACATGGCCGTTAAAAGTTAGGGTTGAAACAAATAGATTTATAAAAAAAAATATTATTGGTTTAGAAAAAGCAAGAAATAAACTGACAGATAAAAACGAATCAAGATATTGGACATCTTTTATACTACTTGTTTTACAGATTTTAATCTTTATTTCATCAGATCACTTCTTATTTTAACAGTCTTGTGACAGGCTGTCACAAGTCCACTGTTGAAAATAACCCTACCTTAAGGGATGATATAAATTACGTCCATCTACCACATTCATCGACTTCCTGCATCATGACCAGACCGTCAATCCATCTAATGAGAAGCAGCCCTACACTTCGCTTACCGGTGTGAGGCTGCCATTCGAGAATCTTTCTTCCCTACCGGTAGTCAGTTCTTCAAGCAGGCCCATTGCCACTTCGGATTACTGATCTGTTGGGCTATTTCGGTACTCTGTCTCTACTGCGGATATCCTCATTATGGATATTCAGAAAAATTCCGAGCCTCTCCATAGCTCGCTGAGCGACCTTGAGAAGCTCAAGGTCGCTCAGCGCATACGGTCAGCAGTGAAGAACCATGTCTCAGATCCATACCATCACTGGCACTATACTATTATACTATATTTGTGCAATTATCACTATTGTAATCAGTGCCGTTTAGACCAGTTGAGGTTTTTTATAGGATTTATAGGATTTTATAGAATTCTTCATTGATAACCATTCTTAATTCCGTAGTTGTAGTGAGGACAGAATTTTTACATACACAAAAAATTTTTGCATACGCAAATAAAAACCAATTGGATGGAAGGAACTAAGTATTTTTAAAACAGAATTGTTATACAAACAAAATATTACAGATTTATTAAAGCTTATGAAATTAAACAGTTCATTTATAGAATTAAAAAGTCTGCTTAAAGAAAGTTTGAAGTATAAAATACATCCAATAATATGATGAGATGTAATTTATTAAGAACTTCGATTGAAATTGCGCAACCTTCACCGTATTATTCAGTTTAGTTAACAATCTTGGAAGCCTATTTACTACTGAGTTAAAGATCAATAAAGGTTAGAGTAGTATGAGAACTGATTGATAAATGTCAGAAATGAAAATTTATAACGACAATAATCTACATTTAATTGACTTCAATTAAACATACCTTTCTTTTTAAAATTGTCCCAACATTTCTTCGGAATTTTATGATCCAAGTATGCCTTGACACTTTTTGAAATATTTTGGAAATTATGCATAGCGCAACACCTATTGTACCTGAGATAGCAGGCAGAGTCCAAAAAGCAGCGAGCTAATCCTTTACGTTTAGACAAAACATATGATTTAAGATGAAAAATTGTGAAAGAAGTGATCCATAAAATTAGTTTGTGTTCATGTAAATATAAGAAATCATAAGTTTTTTCATGTTGACATGACTACACTATTTGTTGTCATATACAATGCAGAAGAAGCGCCATCACGGCAACTTCTTTACTTTTAAGCTCAAGCTATAATAAATAAAGTTAATTTTATAATATTACATTTTTTTTTAAAAACATGCGCGAATGTCGTGGAACACTCGGTTGGTACGAAGTTCCTATTGTAGTATATTATTATTGATAAACGTATTATATTATTGATTAACAAATACAAAGAAATTAATTATTAGCGTCTATGAAAATGAATCGTCATTTAAAACAATATTTTTAATACAGTTGCTCAAAAAGTGGCGTATTGCAGGGACGTATAGCGCTCGGGATGTGGGCTATTACATACTCGTGCTTTTTCTTTAGCTTTTCCGAACTCGTGCGTTCTCTTTCCCAACTGTCAAAATAATGTCTATTAAAAAGAAAAAACCAACCACGAAGTTTTTACTAAAAAAAATTCATAGAAGTTTTTATGATTCATGCAAATATTTCTAAAAAGAAGCTACTAATTTGTTTCAATATCAGATTTAAGGATTTGATTCAATGAGTTAGGTTAGGTTTCATTTCATTTCATCTCATTAAATTTCATTTTCATTTTATATCAATAAAAAAATTCTACTGAAGACTTGGCTGTATGGGCATAGTTCCCTTTACCTACCCAGAATGGGTGAAGAAAACAAAAAAAATATCTGCTTATATTCTTTTTCGGTTGGCGCTATTTTCCAAAAATGTTATTTATTAAATTGCTTCATTTTTTCGCAACTGTATTAAAATAGTTGTTCAGTACACGTGCGGAACCGTCATTGCAACTTGTTCCAACTGTCACCACCTTCGGCTGCGCCTCGGCTCGGGTAGAAATTTGTCGGAACTCTTTGCAATGACATGCTTTCCGCACTCGTAATGAAATATACTATTCTTTCATGGTAAGATAAGAAAAAGTGTGAGGGAGATGGATATTATTCCATCTCGCTCGCACTATAGAAAGGGTGTCGTGATGGAAAAATCATACACTTTTTCTCGCCTAGCTCCCATCCGTCAAATTCGTACCGTGCGATAAGGAACTTTGTTCCAATTTTCAAATAAAAATAAAGTTTATCGTGGAAACGAGGACAAGTTCCTACCTGACTGCCAAGACTTCTATGTAGGAGGTACACTATTAGACCGACAGTTCAGAACACAAACTGAGAAAACGGAAAGAGAAGCTATGGTTGAGCGTATTCTCAACGTTAATCTCACACTACATGCAGTCTTGAAATGCGGCGATCCTAATCTTGCGAAATTCAACGCCTCCATAACAATTCCATAAGGAGCCAGTTCATCTTGGATCCTTCGTTGCGAAATATATCACTGGAATACAAGGACCATCTTCAGTTATTTGGGGGTTGAGATTTCGTCAAACCTGAACTTCGGGCAGTTCGTTGAGTCTAAGGCCAAAGCAGCTACAAGGAAGTTAGGAATCCTTGAAAAGGTGCGCGGCGGTACTTTACGCTGGGACAGATGAGTACTGTATACAAAGCTAAAGTCCACTCGTTCATTGGGTATTAGTATTACTGCCATATTATATTGGCTGGTACTGCAAAATGCCACTTAGCAGCTTTGGACTCAATGTAAATGCGAGCAAAGAGACTTATTGCTGGCCCGTCTCAAACATCTCACCAGTCTCAAACACAGGCACAAAGTAGACAGCCGTTCGGTTTTCTACAGGATACATTTCAAAGAGTGTGTACAGGAATTGCATAATTTAATTCCTCCCTCTCCCTTTCACTATCGGACACCCAGACGCTCGGCTAGTCCCTAACCTATCGCTGTATACTAACTACGCAATTGAACCAAACGTTTTGCTTCATCGTTCGTCATGCGTACAGCAAAGGAGTGAAATAAGTTGCCAGCAGTCTTTTAAACTGATTGCTATGTGTGTGTATCTTCAATGCAAGAGTGAATAGGTTTTTGTTAAGTCAGTGCGCTTCGCCATCTTCGGTTTCATCGCCAATTACCGATTGGGATAGTAGTCATTAGTAAAGCGCTGGGTTAAAATAGTAAAAAAGTTCACATTTAGGGATGGAGTATTCTTCTTAAATTCATGTAGCACCCTGAAGTACATATTACATAAATAAAACATACGCCTCATATGTATTATTTTTACCCTCACGTTGTTTATCGAACTATCAAAAATATACTCTTTACATAAATTTATGTTTAATATAATTGTAGTGAAAATGAAACTTGTGATTTTTTTCGAAAAAAGAAAAGCAAAAGAAATTTACGAATCATTCGAAAATTAATAATTGGTCAAGTGCGTGGGACATACATAATGTAGAAATCCGATGTCGAGATTATTATTTTTAAAATTTAAACTCGAAAAGTATTGAGCGATTTTGAACACTTATCAACCAGCTCTCATATTTTATGTTTGATGAATACAATTCTATTAGGTTATAAATACAATAATATAAAGCCAATAAATGCGATATTGTAAGAAAATTACCTGTCGAAATTGTTCGCTTCGCTCGTGTCTCCTGTGGTGTTGATCGGTGAGCTGCGTTTCAAGGAAATCACCTTGGGTTCGAGAATGGCGCAAGGCTGGCGTTGGAGCTGCTACAGCTCTTAGGTGTGGAGTCGATAGCGGGCGTTGCGGTCGTTCGCCCGAACTGCAAAAATTAGATTATTTTTATTTATTATATATTAGGTTATTTATTATACCTTAGGTGTGATACAATTTTCGAATCAAATTGTACTATTGTATTTAAATTTATTTATTAATATGTATGAGTATTACTTTCAGTTTTAAATATATAAAGGAAACTGAACTGAAGGAAACTAATCAACAGTGCTACACCGTTCGCCGTGTAGTGGCGGCGTTATCGACGACAAAAAGCTGGTGGAAACTAAGCTTCACAGCCTAGCTCACCGCCGCCAAGTTGCTTGTTTGTCGGTCTTCTACATGCCCAAAGAAACCGCCTCGCCACTCGCGGCGCTCGCGTCGGAGGCGGTTTTTTTGGGCACGAGGCAAAGGGCCTCGCGAGGGACGCGAGCGTGGTGTTTACACTCGCGTCTCGTTTCAGTTTGTTTACGTCCCCCTTCCATAATAACATTGGAATTGCTTTTTTTAAATTACAATTTTAATAAAATAATATTATTTAATCTTGCTCAATAGGTACTAGCAATGTATATTAAATTATGAAACTAAAAAGGTTCTGTTTCGATGAATAGATATCATTCGTCATATTCTTCCTCAACGAAGTATTTTTATTAATTTCCTTCTTTTTAAAATGGTCAAGCATCGATAAATACTTATTAAGGCAAGAGTTGATGCCGCTATTATTTCGACGTCTTTCATAGTTGCTGGCTCAACGCAAACTGACCGCATCGCGAGAGTGTAAACAGGCACTCGTTACCTCGCAACAACACGCGAGCTGCGAGGCGAGGTACGAGGCGAGACGCGAAGCGAGAGTCTAAACGCGGTATCACCATCGTAGACCTCGTCTTTGCTCTCTGGCCAGATGGAGGTCAAGAGTGAGCCCATTTTTAATTAAAATAAAAAACAATCCACGAATCCATACAATCCCGTGGCTGTCATTAGAGGCGACATACGGGAAATGAAACAGGAGACGAACAGTAGCATCTCTCTCTCTCATTTTGCTCTAATAATAAAAAACTACGATTGCCTTTTGTTTCGTACATGTAATTACAAAGTAACAATAGGGTATTACACCCATTTTCAAAAAGTGTTTTAAATTAATCTTAGAGTGATAATGAACCACTATAATTTTTATATAATTTTTTTATAACCGAATAGTGACATAATAATTACTTTTAATCTATAGTTTTAAATTTTCGCGTGAAAACGCTAGCCGCCATACTGTTCAACTCGTGACGTCACTGTTGTAGGATTTTCAAAATTTTGCAAAGGAATAAGATACTTTTGAATGTTTAATAATGAGTTATCATTTATATCATTATTGTGCTGTGCCTGATTGCAAAAATACGAGAATAAGAACGCCGAGCAAGTTATGGATTAAAGTGCCAACTAATTTAAATATGAGAAATAGTTAAAACTTAAGAACGCCGAGGAAGTTATGAATTAAAGTGCCAACTAATTTAAATATGAGAAATAGTTAAAACTAGCAAGAAGAGACCCGAAGGCATTGTCTACAAAATCTAAACTATACTTCTGTGAAGATCACTTTGATGTAAGAATGACTTATATTTAACCATCGATTAAACAAAACAAAACATCATGTCATGATAGGTAGGTACCTATTGCAAGTCAAATTTTTAATAGATTAGGTTAATCGCTCGTCTGTCCCGCCCTTTGTGGACCATTTTGATAGCCCTTGCAGTGCAGTTTTACTTAATTCCTGTTTTCTTCTATTATATGGGAATAAAGACATGGTTTGTACTCAGACCAAAATAAAAAAGTGACTTTTTATTTCGTCTGAGGGTTTGTACAAAAAATATAACAAAAAGTTTTTCTCACCTAAGCTTATATTATAATATCTATAAAATTAGTGCTAAAAGCGAAGTAATAAACTCGCTTCTACGAATCCGTCTTCCTGATGCCTTTTCAATAAAATTCGGATTAAAAGTCAACAATCGTAATTATAACTTGAAAAATTTCGAAATTAGCTAGTTAGTACACAGCACATAACCTAGTTCTTTGACCTAGTGACGTCACGACGCTATCTAATATGGCGGATTTTTACATTATGTAAAATACCCTATTCTATAATCAGAAACAAATGCAAATTTCCTTTGGATGATGCATGATTTATCGACACATTTCTGAAAAACTAAAAATATTAACTCAGCCTATTATAAAGTATGAAAGGAAGACACAGTGAAAATATTATATGATGGATTTGAGTAACAGAGCTTTATATAAAACTACTAAATATATGTAGTAATACAACAGTTTCTAATCTTCTTCTTTATCATGAAAGAAGTTATACTATGTTGTTAAATATTTTATTCTTATATTGACAATTTCTGTTGATTACCATTACTAAAAATAAGTGTTTCTACGAAATTTTGAAATAGATACTGACTAAAATAATAAAGGAGATTAGGAATACCCTTAACCGACGAGCGTGTATATGCGTAGATATATGGGTGCAAAATGGAAGTCCGTTGTTTTCCTCTGCCTACCGCTCTGGTTGACAGGCGTGAGTGTTTATGTATGTATGTATGTAAAATAATAAAGGGATCTAGATCAATATCGTGTGGATATTATTATCTACATCGGAGCTGTATCGGGACAGCAACGGTATCACGGGGCGAGGGACTCTGTGAATGGCTGGTAACTTGACTTCGAGATTACGATGACTAGGTATCTTTCTTATCATATTTATAGTCTCTTACGTTTACGTTACGCATGGACATATTTAAAGTCTCTTACGTTTACGTTACGTACCTACATATTTGTAATCTCTTACGTGGTCGAGCTGCAGCTATTACTAGCTTACGTAGCTACTGCATGAATGGGTCGGCGCGACTGGGGTATAGTGATGTGTTCCTCACTCATGAGTTACCTCGTTTGAGGTACTCGTGACGGCAAATTGAGTTACTCGAATTTTAACATTGAACGACCTCACTCACTCATTCACGCCCTCGCTTATGACTGACAATACGAATCGTGTCGCGAACTCCCGAGTGAGTGAGCGAATGACTCTATTAAAATAGTTCAAATAAGTAAGTGAAATTATGTGTTTTGCAGCAATGTCTAAATGAGTGAGTTAAAGGTTAATAAACAAGAATAATAATTATTGAGTAATGGAATTTGGGTGTGAAAAAAATCATGCGCATTTTTTTATTAATCAATTTTGCGTTAACTGGGCACAACCAGTGATCACAAATTTTATTTGCGGTATATTATAAATGTAATGGCTATGGTAACAACATTCCCTGCTTTCAAAATATTTCGGAAGGAGGCCACCCGCCTTGTGAGTTGAATACACCGACGAGCGATCCTTACCTCATGAGTAAGTACCTCGCGAGGTAAAATAAAGCACTCCCTCATCCTCAAATAAAATAGATGAGTAACCCATGACTACTGGGGTAGGACCACGCTCTTAAAGAATATCAGCATGAAATTAAAAATCAAGTAATAAGGTCGTTTTTCGTATGATGAGTGTAGAGAACCGGACTCTTTTTATTGGTAATAAGACTTTCCGTCATAGTCGTCAGGGTCCGTCATACGTCCGACAACGTATATGCAAAATGTAACTATACTTGTTGATTCTTAATCGATGAGAGTTGTGATAGATATTTTATAGGCCATAACATCCGCTTACCATCAGGTGGAATATGTACTCGGTTGTCACAATAAAGAGAAAAAACACAATTAAGTGATTAAACAATGGACACTCCAATGGCCCTCCGACCTCTGATAACAAGAACTCACTTCGGCGCTAATAATGTTCACAGTAGGATTTCCGCCGGAAGTAGACTAGCATAATCACTTCACTGCTTTCGTTAAATGAAGATAAAACACAAAAGAGGGTACCTGTGTTTTTATTTTGCAGTTTTTCCTCACTTCTATACAGTAGATTAAAAACTTTAAAAATACATGGTTTACAGACAAAAATACGAAACACAGCAGAGTTAAGTTGCTATATTACGCTGGTTTTCTGTGAGTGTTGTCCTTCCCCGGTCGAGCCGACTCATTCGTGCTACAACTATAGTAATATAGCTGCACCATGGCTCTATTACGTAACAACGTTTATGAATATTCTACTATCAACATCCTACATTACGACTAACGTAAGCTACTCAGCTCAGCTCGTGTAAAATCATTATTATTATTGCTGCAATACTTCGAACCCTGACCAAATTAAGATTAAGAAAAACCCCTCGAAGGAAGTTAGCCTTTTTTTATAGGGGAGGAGCCAAACGAGCATGCGGCTCACCTGATGGTTAGTGATTACCGCCGCCTATGAACAACTGCAATTCGATATAATACGATTCGGAATAATTCCAGCCGCTCAATTTCACCATCACACTGTGCGATTTAGAAGAAGTTTTCTCCCTCGCACAACTTCCTTGTGGAATCGATTACCACCAGCGATTTCTCCGGACCGATACGACTTAGGAACCTTCAAGAAAAGAGCTTACACCTTTCTAAAAGGCCGGCAACGCATCTGCAATTCCCCTGGTGTTGCGGTTGTTTATGGGCGGCGGTAGTCACTTAACATCAGGTGAGCCGCATGCTCGTTTGCCCCCTCTGCTATAAAAAAAAGATGATTAAATTATCACTATGTCTTAAATTTTTCTAATCCATGCTATCCCAATCGTTTTTACAATTATTAAAAAAATTCTGCCGAATAAGTCTTCGCTTTTCATCGGCCTTTTTTTTTCGAATTTCTCAAAGTTGTTAGTTGTATAGTTTTTCATTGTTACATAAATCACCCGAGTCCAAAACATCGTAATAAATCAAATAAACAAAAACCAGAAAATACAATCTATGTTAACAAGTTGTTATAATCAATTTTGTAACGTATTTTTTTTAGTATACTATCCACAAATATTAAACTGTGTATAGTTATTTTATTCGTTTTTTACCAAAAATTATATACTTAAAAGAAAACAATTAATTTTAATCAATTTTTTATTTACATGTGCAGTTTGATCCGTTGTTATACTACAATTAAAC